AACTCTTACGGGACGCGACGTGCACTCCGCAGGCGTTGGATGACGAAAACTTTCGCGAAACATTGTTGTTAATATAGGTAGACGTTAAAGTTGTTCGTGTTGATGGATTATTACAATAATTATGTGCACAGAGAACAGTAATAAGTATAACGATATAATCAATATGTGTACACCACAGTGATATTAGCCATACGACGAGAGTATTACGATATATTATTATGTAAAATATACGCACATTATTGAGAATATCTGTTACACACAGTACAGTTTACTATACGACTTAAAATATTAATGAAATTACTATTTAAATAGTTGTAAACAATTATTTGTTGAGAGACCATGTATAATTTTAGAAGTTGTATCTTCTAACATATTAATCAAATACTTAACCGATGGCATTTTATTTATTTTTTATTTAAATTATTATCAAAAAGATTACTAGATAGTGGCTATACTATGTAAATACTACCTATTGTGAACGGTATAAATTAAAAACATATAATGACATAATTTAATTAAGTTATTAAAATATTTAATTAACTAAATTATTTTATCAAACAAAGCAAAATAAAGTGACTTTATGTATATTGTAACCACCAATAACATTGTTGGCTTAGAATAAACATTCTCTTTATTTAGTATGCTTTACACTGCAGATGGATAATGCAAATAATATGTAACGCCTACAGTTTTTACTATATAGATATATGTATTAATATTTATTTATGTATAAAATATACATACAACTACCTAAGCAATTTTAATAATAGTAATCGTTATAATTATTCATCGATTACATAATTATTAATTGTCAAATTGGTACGATTCTGGATTTTAATAATATTATTCGAAAACGTCTGTCACTGATCGATATCTATGTCTTCTCCACAATCGCTAGTTCATGTGACAGTCGACAACCAATATCGACCAAATATCAGCTATACCACGTTAAAGTGCAAAACATTACCAGTACATTACCACCATGTATATTAGCCGCCACAGTATATGTTGAAGGACAGACCGACAGTCAGTTGAAAGATTTCCGTCATCCGATCAACCAAAGAATATTGTAGTATGGGACTTATTCTCCGATTTATTTGTATAATTAATATTTCTCTTTCCTGTCTTAATATATATTTCCACAGTACATCATACTCAGTATTATGTGCATCATCATTTGTCAATAATCAAAGAGTCTTAATATTTTATTTATCTATTTTAATCAGTTATGTGTCCTGCACTTCCGTCCACCTACTACAGCTGACATCAACACTCTGGACAGACCTCGTCCGTGTGTAAATATTTCAACGTTTTATGTGGAACATTTAAAACAATATACCAGTTGATATATTTTGAAATACAAGACTACGTATAAGAGTATAGAAATAATAATCGCCTTAAAATTAGTTTCCAACGACAGTTAATATTTAAAATACAGCTACCAGCTACTAAATAATAAACAAAACAGAAATAATAATCTGTTTAGTTTATGTTCTCCCTAGTGAGATATATTGATATAATATTCATGTAAACCTACAACCCGGTTTGTTCCTGCCCTGCACGGCCTACATGTTTACATGTTTATTGAGAAAGTTAACATGGTCGAAAGCATCCCACCATTAAGAATATTGTCCATAATATAGGCGTACTAGCGTAGGTACTGCATAGGTATACTGTATACATTCGTCCAAAACTGAATATTTCCAAGTCAGATCTACAATATATTATGCATATCATAATGACGAAAAAAATCCGAGTCCTCGTCCGAAAATCAATGCGATAGAAGAAATAAATTGACATATCTTTCGATCTGCCTCCTATGGCTGACACCTCATTAGTCTCACATACAAATACTCAACCGGCTGCAGCTTGGACTCTATTCATGGTATCCCTATTATAATAATGTGCATAAAAACGTGTCTTATTTAGATATTCAAATTTACTAAACGAATTATAAGAATATTGAAGTAAGGAATAAAAATAACGTCAATTCGTTCTGTAAAACGCCGCTTTAAATACGCCTATTGTTTTTTAATTCATCAACCTGATAACTAATATACAGCTTTATTTTTCATACTGAAATTGGAGTAGGTATGTTTATATTATCTGTAAAATCTTATTATCTTTCTTAAAATATCATCCCTCTTTAGTTTTTTGACTAGACTCCTTCGAAAATCGACACTTTAATAACCAAATTAATACTTTTTAACTCGATGTCCAGCAATCTGCAACTAAGTTGGGTCGAAATTCTTTCTAGCAATTTATATTATATTATTTTTTGATTTACTCACTGTACCTACAACGATCAGTATAAAATTCAAAACACAATTTGATAACCTATATTATAACGGCAAATGTATTTCACTAGGTAATAAGTGTTAAAAATTAGAGCTCTATAAATTATTTGTTTAACCATTATTTTGGATGTCGGGAACTTGACTAAATTATCTGAAAACAGTACATTTATGTTACACCGTTCCAATCTAAAATAACAAATATCAAATATGTTTAAACAGTAAATTATAATTTCGTGACGTTTGAACTTTTATTACGAGTTCAAAACAATATTTCAAAATATAATACGAATGCAATCAAAAACTGTTGTAGGTATCTATTTCAGTAAAAATTCTGTCTTGTATAAATATAAAATCCACTTAAAATTTTGTATTTTTCACATATTATTATAATGGAATAAAAAGGTCTGAAATTGGTTCAGAGCTAAGCAGATATTGAGTGTTTCCATTATCTTTAACAGTAACTTTTTTTGGGGTAAATATATATTCAATTCAAAAAATAAAAATGTTTTAAACTATAGTAAGTTAGGTATGTATATATTATATAACCTAACCTAATCCAACCCAAATATATATATATATATAAATGCTATAGCTGTATTAGTATAATACCATAATTTATTCTTAGAGTTGAAAAAATAAAACTTTTATGTACTTTACACTTATAGATTTTAATTTTACATTTTCAGGTTTACACATTAGCATACGGTTTAATAGTAAGAGATTCATAATCGCTCTAATGAAAACAATATTTTTATAAAACTATATAGCTTACAAATGACTACCTAAATTGTTCTATAGCAATGAAATACTAAAGTTTTTAACAATGTTAATATAACTATTATTAAGAAATTCTAGTGAAAAGTCAATATTTTAATTTTATGAAACAAGAATATTTTGAACGGTAGATATAAATAATTTATATTTTACTGGATTAAAATTAAAAAATTACCAGTCAAATTAATCGCAATAAAATTATAACCGAATTGAATTTTTCAAGAAACATTTTACTGAAAATCATATCTTGGTACATTCTGCCACCTCGGTAATATTAAACGAGGTCAACAATATTTTTAACACTTAATATACTGTACCCATTTTATACCTTAACGCTGACATCATTGCACATACGACAATAGAACTTTGCTTCGCGTATTTTGTTAATTTTAACATGTAAATTAATAATAATTATACTCACACATACTTATATTATAGTATTTCATAACAATAACAATATAGACAGTTGCTGTTGCATTATTTTAAAATAAATGACCTTCACTTTTACAGAACCAAATGAATAATGAGCGAAAGTTATTGATAAATATTATTTTTAAATGTTCCGTATTTTTGTATGTATTTCGAATGAGAAACATATTGTATCGAGTCTTCGATTCAACATAATTATATAATATTAATTATATGAATATTGACAGCGTTCGAACTCACTTGATAATAATCCAGCACAAACATTTATTTATTTACAAGCAATTAAACCGTTGCAATTCGATTGATAATACAAATATTCTTTGGTATCAGCATCCGAACATTCATATCAAGATATCAAGATATCTGTTATTTTTAGAATATCGTGTTTGCGCGAGTTGTAAGCTCAAGTTTATTACATTTTTCTATTTTTCTCATGACATGCATCTGAACCTAATCTGCATTGTTTGTTTTTAATTTTGTCAGATCGAATATCCAAGGGATAACGCACACTAACAGAGAAATATTGAACAAACAAAAGAGTATAAATGTTTATTTTACATTGATAAAAGTATAGAAAAAAACATACCTACACAGGCAAAATACAGTACGTAGGTACCTATTTGAAATTTACAAAAATTTAAAACTTATTATTTAAATTACAATCGTTAGTATGAAAATTAATTTAATGTAAACAGTAGTTATAACATAGTATGTACTTTAAATTATTTTACACTTTAACACATCCTCGAACATTCATTATTATAATGCTCCTAATGTGGTATCTGCTGACTTTGTGTTCTTATTTTCATATTTCATACAACGTCTGTTTATTTATTTCCGATATAACCATATATATTGTTCTAAATATTATAATTTAAATTTTCCTATTTTACTTCATTTTTCACTACCTACAACGTTTGCCTAGGCGACAATAGTCAATTTAGAATTAATTATGATATTTGAACGTAAACATTTTGTATTTTTAATAATTATATTAAATTGTTATGATAAATCTTTATTTCATTTGAATTAACATGTTTTAAGTTATTAATTATTAAACTTGGCTCATAAACATAAATCACAGGTGGACCTTTATACTATTTCATATAAAATATACTAACTGACCAGTGACCACCCAGAAAACGTTGTATTGCCCACAAAGAATTTTTTGGCAGCAAGCCGACACCCAACCAAAACCAAAACCCACGAGAACACAAATAATATGTAAACATGGCTTCGATAGTGTTTGTGGTTTCCGAGATTACCTAGCACTAACAAACGCATAATATAATTTAGACATACTAATTGTATTATTTTTAATTTGTTTCGCTGAAAATGTAAACATTTGTTTTTGAGATAAATTTCTGTGAGCATTTAAATTTTAAATTCGCTTCAATTTAATGATATCGTATAAAACAAAGTAATCATATTTCGATAGTATTCCAATAGAACACTAAGTGATATTATTAGATAGGTATGATGAACTTTGCAACATGATAATTAAATTATAGAGAACCTTACCTGGCATTTTGGATATCGTTCTGGTATCCTCTTGACCTTCCAGCCGAGCAGAGGTGGTATGCAAATGACTCCACTGAATATCCACACGAAACCGATCATGACCATGGCCCGGGCTGGCGTGCGTTTCTTCAAATAATCGACGGCCTGCGTGATGGACCAGTACCTGTCCAGGGCTATCAGACACAAGTTCATGATGGACGCGGTGCAAAGTAGCACGTCGAGCGCGGCGTGTATGTCGCACCACCAGTCGCCGAATATCCAATAGCCCATCAGCTCGTTGGCCAACGAGAACGGCATGACGATTATGCCCAGGAAGAAGTCGGCCACGGCCAGGCTGGCAATGAACCAGTTCTGCACGTTTTTCAGAGCCTTCTCAGTCACGATGGCAATGATGACCAGCATGTTGCCCACGACGACGACGATCATGAGCATGATTACCACGACGGAAGCGACAACTATTTCTGGTATCGAGTACGTTGATGGGTAAACAGACTCGAAAATATAATAAGTTCGGTTCGGGTCCATCGTCACATTGGTGTCGTTTAGGTAACTCGTGCCGTTCTGGTCCACCAAGAGCCCGAACTCGTTCTGGTCGATTTTAAACACCATGCCCGACAGGCTGGATAGGTTTTCGGCCACGTCTAGCGATTCCATTGTGGTACCCGTGGCAGTGGATAAATCCGACCAAACAGAAAGTAGATATTATATATATATCAATTCGATGGCCGGCGAAGGCGTGGGTGAAGGGGAGAGGATGGTGATAGGCTTTAGGTGGTCACTGCGGAGGACATCACCCGTTGGTAGACTGTAGCAAGTCGCCAATAGTCAAATTTCCTCCACGTCTGCTGGCCCGCCGGGGGTCTCTTTCTCCGGAAATCCTTCCACCAAACAAAACTCATGACCCGTTTGCGTTTTCAAATCTGGATGGTCTCTAAGAAAAAAAAATCGAAAACAGACAAAATAAATGCACATGAAACATATTGTATTATAACTAGGTGACACGAGTAAAGCCTTTTGCTAACCCTCTCGGCTTTTGCGACGGGAAAACGCGGCTTAAACCATGGCATTAAGTCCACGTCACGTTTCTCTCCTAACGCCTAATGGCTAACGAGAATATTTAAATAGATTACCGATCCTTGGAGACAATTCTGGTGTACAGGCGCAATGTGTTATTCCACTAAGCGAATCAACTTAATTCTATGGCTTGTTTGGTAAACTTATAATCAATTACAATTTGATACTTTGTAATTGAAATTATTTCACTATTAATGCGGAATCTTTGTATTTATTTTTTTGTTTCTCAATTATGATCAATGTTCCTTATGCTGGTACATTTTCTCTAAATAATGTTATTATAGTATTAAAATGTTTACTTTAATATTGTATCCTTTTTTCAAAAAATATACTGTCCTCTAATATTTAAAAAATATAAGTAGGTACTTTCAAAATAACCATTTATGCCTATGGTCTTAAAATCACAATAGTTCATACTATTTGTTTTGTTAATAGTTTATTTTCTAAAAACAAATTTAAATAAAAATAGATAGAAAATAAAATGTATTTTTACATATTATTATAATTTATAATATTACATATTATTCTAAATAATTTTGTGTGTATTATTATAATTGTTAATTATACACCCACTCTCTTAGACACTCTAAACAAATATTATATTGTAACTCCGTAAAGAAATATTTTCTTCCTATTTTTTTTTTCGTTTCATTATAAAAATATATCATAACACAATAAATTAAAAATATGTTTTTGAAACAATATGTTACATTTTTATTTTGCAACCTTAATAAATTATAAAGGGATGTTATTTCAATTATACCGAGCACAATTGTATATTAAACGTGAAATTCATAAACATTAAATACATTTTTTTCTATCGCATCTGATACGCGTTATTTTATTTCACACAGTATAATATTTATTTCACACTGTATAATACTATTTATTAAATGTTATATAATTGCATTAACATAAATCAATGAAAAACTACTATCAAGTGACTGGTGCCTACGTTAGATTGGCTTAGAAATTCAGATGTCACGGTTTATCGAGAACGTCTGATATAGATATAGCAACACAACAATCAATGGTATTATTATTTATTTATTATTATTGGTCGTTCACCGTTACATGTATAATATAATATATCCTCTACTGACATAATATTATTATTCTGTCTTCATCACAACGTGGCACACACGAATTGATAACAACACGAAACAATTCTATAATCTCGCGTGAGATAATAATTATTATATTCAATATATACTGTACAATATACCTACTGTACATATATTAATTACATCACATTTCGAGTACTTTTCCACAGGCTTACAATATGTTGAATGAAACAACGGTCCTGCCATATAATTATTTTAATAGGATACTCAACAACATTTCTGTATGTGACTAAGTGCGTCATTAGACGATGAAATCATAAACTGGAATTTGATATTCAACCTAGCCTAACACGTGCATATTAAATTACATTTCAACTATTTAACAAAGGAGGGTGTAGGCACCCGAGTATGGAGCACAAATATTATTAACAGCTATTTATACTTGGACTCGACAAAAACGAACCTAATTTGACTTATTTCGTTAATAAATTTGGTGGTAAGTCTGAGATTCACCATAATAATATGATTATGGTCTCTACATAGGTAGGTAGGTACGTCATAATACTGCCGATCGTACTGATTATGAGTTATAAAAGTAGGTACCCACTCATATTTAATTCATGAACGTTGAACAAATATATTTTGCACTATCTTGATGTCTGAAAAAATGACTTACAGAAAGTAATGAAATCAAAACGGATCACAGAGAAATTATATTTTCATTCAACTTTAATTTCAAACAGTATACCTACTAAAAATTAAAAAGAAATATCTAAGTTTAAAAATAATATACCAACTAATTTATGTGTCTGTTTTAAATTAAAATTTCCAATAACAATTACAACCATGGTGATAATATACTGAAAGGGATTCAGTTATATATTATGATGATAGATTGCATATAGCACAATGATAAAAAAAACTTTTCATCAACGTTTATTTGCATAACAATTCAATAACAAATAATACGATTGGACATTTAATTGTAACATAAATAGTTGTAAATTCGTCTCATAAATAATTTGTAAAATGTTTTGGTAGGAAAAATACTAGTACAATGATTAGTATATTACAATATTTCATTCTGATAGCACCAATATTTTATACCTAACTATTGAAATACTTCTACGAATTTTGTTGTAGATCAGTCCTAATTGTATACATTTATGGGAATATAAATATATGTAATAATAAACAATTTTAAATGAGTCTCAACTCTATAATACTAATATGAGTGATGATAATGGAAAGTAAAATATTCAATATTGTAATATGTATTAGGTACCTATAGGTAATTATTGAAATGGATTGAAATATTGTTGAAAGATATCTTTGTTAAGATCTTGTTCGAATCGTTCTCATAGATTTTCAAATATTTTATGTTAAATTGAGTTAGAAGTGTGAGAGAAATCAATTTATAAAATGTTATATATTTATAAACTTTAATAGAGTTTCCTATTTATATATCAAATAGAATTATATTTATTTTAAACCCTTTTAACGTAAACATTAAAAAAGTTCTACTTTTAAATAAGACGAGATTTTTTTACGGTATAACTTTAATGATGTAGGTTATTTTTAAATATTTTTTTTATCTTAAGAGTGATGAGCAATCAATAAAGTATACATAATAAATGTACTTAGTTACGTGTGCACACCCGACCGAGCAACACGCTTATCGTTATCGCGCTCTCGCATTTATAGCTCTCGTAAGCGTACTGAAGTCCTACGTGTGTACAGGTAATATGAATAATTATTTAACCGTTGATCCCAATTCACATTTTAACACTATAAATTAATAAAACACCCAAAAAATGGGTGAACCAAATACCAAAACTAATAAGCTTAATGAAAAACTTATTGCCTCATCCAAAGTTTCAAATAACAAACAAAATGTCACAATAATAGCTAAATCCGGACCCTCCGGTGACATAGCAGATAACGCGACTAATGAGCATCTTTCATCTCAACACTCCGATAACGACTACAACAGCGACGCAATTAAATCCACCGATAAAATTATTTCTAATCACGATTACACCAACAAGACCAACCATATACAGAGCGTTCATAATATCAATTCCTCATCGCATCAAAACAACATTAATGAACCAGAAAAACACGCTTTTGGAAAAAAATCTTTCGCCGAAACCACTATCAACTCTACACTACCCAAAAAAGAACACGCAATAGTCTTCGATTCAATCGACAACATACCCCAGATTGATTACATAATTGCAATTAGCAAATTAACTCCACCAAAAAACATAAAATTTGCTTCTCGGATAACCAACAACCGATTCTGTATATACCTCAATGACAAAAACACGGTCGATTTTCTTGTAGATAACCATCCTTACATCATAATAAACTCACATACGACGATTAAAATTAGACGGTTAATAAATCCGGCTAAAAGAATAATCATATCTCATGTCTCACCTGATATACCAAACGAATACATTATATCACACCTAGAATATCATAAAATCCAAATATTATCACCAATTACACATATTAATGCGGGATTCAACATCCCAGAACTAGCTCATATCATAAGCTTCAGACGCCAAGTTTACATCAAACCCGATGATTTCGAAAAACTACCAAAATCCATCCTGATCAATCTCGAAAATACATCTCACAGAATATTCTTGGACGACGACTCGATCCACTGTTTCCTATGCAAACGCAAAGGTCACACAACAAAACAATGCAAAAACCCACCAACAGAAGCCGTAAATACAAATATAAATGAAAACGCATTCAATACATCCGCAGATGCAAATGTTGACACCTCTACAAACAGCATCTCACAAACCTCAACTCAAATGTCTCTCCTAGATGACCCTTTCTCGATGGATACAACATCAAATGACATCACATTACTGACTCCAAATACAAATGATACTAAAAAAAGACCAGCACTCTCTTCAACTTCATCAAACCTAACAAACGATTTGCCTACCTTCAAATCCCCTTCTCAAGATAATGTATCAAAAGAAACTATTTCTAAATCAAATGCAATCAAAATATCGCAACCAGCAACCAAAAAATTAAAACGAAATCAATCCATAGAAAAAATAGTCTTAAAGCTCGACGAAATTCTCGAACCCACCAAACCCAAGTTTGAAAAAATTCCCAACAAAAAAATTAATTATGAACAGTTTAAGTTCATAATTGAAAACTCTCTCGGCGAAGCCAACCCAGCTTCAATTTTAGTTGATTTTAACATTACTTGTCTTGAAATGATCGAGGTCATAGAAATAATCAAGCCTGCAATTAAAACTCCAGGCATAAAAAACAGATTGACGCGACTTTGTAGTTCCCTCCTCGATAAAGAGCTGTCCACTAAGCCCAACCAAACTGAATAATAATAACAATTAATATTACGAAGCCACACAAACATCGAAGCGATAGTGGCAACATATAAGTTAACAAACAAAATAAAATAAAAAAATTAATGAAAATTTTACAATGGAACATGAATAGCTTCTATAAAAAGCTAGATGAACTTAAGATTCTAATATCTGATATCTCACCTGATATAATATGCCTCCAAGAAACAAATTTTACAGATTTAAATGCCGCCAAACTACCTTACTTCAATGAATATAATAAATGCAGAACCTCCGGACTCAGAGCCAGTGGCGGAGTAACAATATACATTAGTTCTCTATACCCCTCCAAACAAATTTTTATATCAACTCATCTTGAAGCAATAGCAGCATCAGTAAAACTTAATGATATAGAAGTTAATCTATGCAACATATATCTCCCCAACCAACATACCTTTTCGGAAAAAGACATCGAAAATATAATTAAGCAACTACCTAAGCCCTTCATTATAACAGGCGACTTCAACAGTCACAATATCATATGGGGCTCTCAAAATACAGACAATAGAGGAAAAGCAATAGAAAAAATCCTTGAAAGTGAAAACTTGGTACTACTTAACAGTATGGAACCTACGCGCATAAACCCAATTAACGGTAACCTTTCAAACATTGACCTGACATTTTCAAATGCCTCACTCGCTCAAAGACTTGACTGGTCGGTATCAAACAATATTACCAGCAGTGATCACTTCCCTATTGTCATACAACTCGTAACCCGTCATAATGACAGCACCCCCAAACTCGAGAGATGGAACTTGAAAAACCCTGATTGGCCACTTTTTTCCCAATTGCTCGAAGACAAAATAACTAATATAAATTTATCTGAGATCAAAAACACTGAAGAACTTGTCGACGAATTCACAGAATCAATAATCTCATCTGCTAATTTATGTATAGGAATATCAAAATCCAAAACTCCAAAACCAAAAGTCCCTTGGTGGAATCTAGACATTAAAAAAGCAATTAAGGACAAAAATGATGCACTTAAAAAATTCCAAAAAACTAATAATCAGAAGGACTTCATCCAACTTAAACAGCTAAGAGCTAAATCAAAGTTTTTGATAAAATCAAGCAAAAAGCTTACATGGGAAAAATTCACTAGTAGCATCAATGAAAAAACTGACTCCAAACTAGTTTGGAATAAAATCCAATCACTTAAAGGACTCCGTCGACTCCGAAAAATTAATCTAATCAACACCAACACAAATCTATTATTAAACAACATCGATCAAATTTCCAACAACCTAGGAGAATATTTTTACAACAACAGCAGCAATAATAACTATAAACCCAACTTTCTAGCTCATAAAGATAAATGCGAGAAAGAAGTTATAATTAATACTGCCAATCAAAACCATGCAGATCAAATCCTCATTAACAAGCCAATTAACCTACAAGAAATAACGAATATGCTAAAAAAATGCAAAAGCAACAGTCCTGGACCCGACTCCATCCCTTACTCGTTCATTCAAAATTTTAGCATTAAAACTCTCGAATTTCTCCTAAGTATATATAATCTGATATGGAATGAGGGACACTGGCCAAAAAAATGGAAAGCAGGGACCATAATACCAATACTCAAACCCGAAAAAAACCAATTTAAAACCGAGGGATATAGACCCATCACTCTTCTTAATACCATGTGCAAACTATTTGAAAAAATAATAAATCACAGACTCTCATGGTTTCTAGAGAAAATATCTTTTTTCTCCCCAAAACAAAATGGTTTTAGGAAAAATAGATGCACTATGGATAGCCTACACGAAATTAACGAAGAAATCAAACTAACATTAGAAAACAAGCAAATCATGGGCGTAATTAACTTAGATATAGCCAAAGCATATGACACAACTTGGAGACATAACATTATTACCAAACTAAACACAATCTTATGCCAAGGTAGACTGCTTAACATTATAACCAACTTTACCTCAAACCGAAAATTCCAAGTAAAAGCCAATAATCACTTATCCAGGGAATTCACCCAAGAAAATGGAGTTCCACAAGGTTCTGCTCTTTCAGTAACACTTTTCCTGATTGCAATTAATGACATCACCCAAAACTGCAGCCCTCCAGTAAAATGCAACTTATTCGCCGACGACTTCAACTACTGGTGCAGGAGCAACAAAGTCGAAACTGTTCAAAATTTTCTGCAAATAACCTCCAACAACTTAGAAAAATGGGCAAACAAAACCGGATTCAACTTCTCTCCTGAGAAGTCCTCTTGTTCAGCTTTTACAAAAAAAAGAGTCAATGACCTAGTTATTAAACTAAACGATACCCCAATTGCCAACAAAGATACTGTTAAAATGCTAGGAGTAATATTTGACAAACGTCAAACCTGGTCACCCTACATAAAACACCTAAAAAAAACCACAAGCAGCTCACTAAAAACAATTAAAATCTTATCACACACTTCATGGGGAGGTGATTCCAAATCTCTAACAAAAATATACAACGCAACCATTCAATCCAAAATCAACTACGCGTCAATATTATACAGAACAGCAGCCAAATCTTCCCTAAAACTAATAGATACAGTTAATAATAGCGGACTAAGACTAGCAATAGGAGCCTTCCGGAGCAGCCCTACACTTAGCATTTATAACATAGCCGGCATACCACCTCCTACACTGAGAAGAATAGAGCTATCCATTAAAAACATCGCTAGACTAGCTAGTCGCCATGGAGACAAATACAGCAACATAAACAATGAAATTGTCAAGCTGACCAATGAAATCGTATTCTCCTCAGTCAAAATCATCCCTCGTGAATCGTACATAGCCCCTCCTTGGGAAAACAACTACCAAACCAATACCGAGCTAAGCGCCTTATCCAAACCGAACACAGCCAACGAGATATTTAAAAGACACTTCCAAGGAATCCTTGACGACTACAAGAACTTTCAAAAAATTTACACCGACGCCTCAAAGTCATGCAATGGGGTTGGAATTGCAATCATACTCGAAAATCAAAACTTAACCTTCAAGCTTCCCAATGATTGTTCAATATTTTCCGCGGAAGCTCTGGCAATCCTAAAGGCCATAGAAATAATAAACACCTCAACACACACCAATTTTTTAATTCTCAGTGATTCCCTCAGCGCCATAAACAGTGTTAAAAACAAAACTCACTCCGGTGACATTGCTATCCTAATCCAAAATAAAATTGACGAAGCTAAACAAAAAAAAAAACAAATTATACTAACATGGATTCCAGGGCACACTGGTATCCCAGGTAACGAAACTGCGGATACATTTGCCAAAATGGCCATCTCCGACACCAACACGCCATTACTAGACTTCATAACCTACGACGACTTTAAAAACACATTGAAAACATATATTAGAAAAAAATGGCACATAACCTGGAATAGCCAGAATACTAAATTAAACCAGATCAAGTCTACAACTTTCAGATGGGATAATTCCAACCTCAATCGAAAAGAAGAAACCGCCTTAAATCGTTTAAGAATAGGACATACTAGACTTACCCACGGATTTCTCATGTCTAATGAAGAACCCCCCTTCTGTGAAGCCTGCGGCCATCCCCTCACCGTCAAACACATCTTGACTGAATGTCATGTTTACGACCAGGAGCGAATGGATCTCAACATGACCGAAACCCTCGACTCAACTCTCGGACCACATCCTGACCAGAACAAAATAACGCTTAAATTTCTTAAACTTACTAATTTGATTAACAAAATATAATTGTATCTATTATGTATAAAATCTAAATTGTCATTAATAATTGTGAACTAATGGCCTTTGCTGCCGAGTTGTTTTTATAAGATCAATAAAAAAAAAAAAAAAATAAATGTACTGTTTTACTAAGCATAGAAATATAAAATACACATTATAAATATTTTATTCGTAATCCTTTTAGTTTGTAACGACGGGCGTTCAACATACTTGATGTATTTATTTATACTGTCAAATAGCTTTTTATAGTAATAAATAATAATATCAAATTATAACCACCATCTTTTTTGAAATATTTATACTTGTCCATACATTGGAAAAAAAATATATGCATATCAATTATATTGTAGTCTGAAACTTGTATTCAAAGAAATTTTAATTATAATATGTCCATTACAAAAAAATGTTTATAAAAGTTAGACAAACGTATTGTTATCCGAATTTCGTACCACTTTCCAACGTAATATAATAGACCCCAGATGGCTAAAATTCAAAGAAGTTACTTGAGGGTATAAATAAAAAATTCAAAACTAGTAGGTATCTACTTATTAGCTTTACAACTGTGAAGTAAAATATGTTTATATTATTTTTTAAATTAAATACATTAAAATCAGGAAATAAAATGAGTAATAAGCAGAAGTCCCTGAGGTAATATTATAAACTCTGGACATATTTTGAAATTATTTTAATTTGTTTAAATAACCACCCAGAGCACAATAACAATATTACATTTACAAATCATATCCCTCTGGTGAAATTAGTCACACGTTTGATTTTAATGAATATAGTATTTAGTTTTAAGTTTTTTACATGCATATAATAAAAAGTATATATTCGTTTAGTGTATTTTAATTATAAAGTATTGTAAAATATATTAATGTTAATTATTACAATAAAATATTATAACATAATCATTAAAAGAGGGAGTGTAGGACGTAGGTATCCGCTCTGCTGTGCTGTATAGTAGTCAAGTGTACCTCGTCATTGATTAGGCACTGCAATACCTATATGTGTTAAATTTGAATGAAATGATAAATCATTGTGTACGATGAAAAAACGATTCAGAGCGAAGTCAGTTACATTTTTTGGTAACCAAGGTTACTAAACAATTATTTTATTAATTATATTAAAATTTTAACAAATGTTCGTGTATTTTTTTTAGTAGATACGGATTATTTTTAAAAGCACTAAGCATATTCAATTTTGACCTCACAAAAATACCGACAAAATTCAATTCGCTACAAAAAACCTCCGTCAAAGTTGATGATCAGA